AAGTGCTCGGATTGGAGTCCATGTACAGAAACGCACATCATCAGTCGGCTCCGCATGGAACACAACACGCGCTCGAGCATTTCAGGCTGAACTGCGGCACAGACGGCGACGATTCTTTGTTTCAGGTTGTCCACGCTGGTGGGTTCCGTGGCGTAGACTTTATTCTTCACATAATTCCAAAGACAAAAATCTAACGGACTCAGATCCGGTGATCCTGCCGGCCACGGAACTGGACCACTGCGTCCAATCCACTGCTCTGGAAAAGTTCGGTGTAGAAATCGAACAGCACGCGAAGAAGAATGCGCAGGAGCGCCGTCCTGTTGGAACCACGTCTCCTTCAGCACGCTGAGAGGCCGGCCGGCAATAAACATTCACGACTCCCTCAAGGATTCTCTCCGTGTATAGTTTTCCGTTCAGTGTGCCGTCAAAGAAATATGGGCCAACGATTTTATCATTAAATATTCCACACCATATGTTAATACACCATCTCACACACACTTGATGTTTGTGCTGACGGAGCCAACGAGGATTTACGCTTGCCCAGTAATGGGCATTGTGGAGGTTCACCGTTGAATTTCTGCAGAATTGAGCCTCATCACTCCAAATAATTCTTTTCAAGAATCCAGGATCCCGGTCCATTTAAATCAGGGCCCAATTGCAAAAGTCCAGTCGTCGTTGGAAGTCACTGCCGTGTAGCTCTTGGTGCAGGCTAACGCGAAACGGATGCATGCGATGCTTCACAAGCACTTTCCACACAGAGATCGTTGTCCCGGAAGACCTCGCATTTTCGCGCACGCTTGCTTCAGGCTTAGTTGTTACGTACCCGAGAACGTCAGTCTCGAATTCGCGGCTAAGGACATATTTTTCTGTCTTCGCCCACTCACCACCGTACCACTTGATGCAAACTTGTTGAAGACGCGTATGAAGGAAGTGTAGGCAGAAACGAAGCGACCTGGGTGCTGAGCGGCATAAAGTTGCGCCGCATGACGAGCATTCTTTTGCATAGTTAAACATGCGATCACCATGTCTGTTTTTTCTTCAACCGAAAGCCTTGTCGCAATGAGCGACGCCATTCAGATGTGTTTCCTGCCACAGTCAGAGAAAGAAAGGCACAGCACTATGAATCGCATAGCGCCTGTGTTATTTGTAGCCTTCGTCCTTCCAAAGATATGGGTGCTAACCTGTGTCTTTTACAACGGAGGAGCAAGTGACGCAGCGTTCGTCGCTTTGTAGCACTATTGGCACAAGTCTTCAGAACGGCTTCTATAATATCAACGAAAGGAAAGGATAGCGTCACGATGCCCGCTGGGACAGCGTGATTTACACCTGCCGCAGTAAGCAAAACACTAAGGAGAGAGCAACGTATTCCAATAGCGCTGATGGCAGTGCCTGCATCACAGGTGACGTCACTGCTGTGATGCCAAGCGAGGGCGAATGTGACGCTCTTCGTTCTGGTCAGTTTCAGTTTGAAAGAGCATGCGGGAATGAAATAATTTAGTCAGAAATGCGCGCAGAAATTTTTTGTGCCTTTATTTCGCTGTGGGGTCGGAGCATATTAAGGTTGGGCTTCAATTTCCGAAATGCAATAGGCCCTCTAAAAACAATAATTAAAAAGTTAATTAAGAGATCTCCGTTAATTAGCCGCCTAGTTGCAAAAATACTTTGTTCCTAGTGGGCGCTAGGTCGGGTATGCTAATGGCATAACTAAAAGTGCCTCAACGCAGCTTTTCTTTTTTTGAAAATTTGGTGCAGCTAAAAAAAGACACCCTGTGTATATATTAGTGTGTGTATGATTGCACCAACACCTTGAAACACCCCCCGAAAATATTTCCTGGCTGCGCCACTAATAGCAGCTGTCTTGCGCGTCGAGCAATGGTAGGCGAGTCATGATGAGTGAGGGCGGGTACTGTTCGTGCAAGCAGCGTTTATGAGCAGTTCCGTAACTGAGCTAATCTAAAAACGTTGGTTACAGCTACGTGTGATGTCATGCGACACGTGACGCTAGTGACTGGACCACACAAACACGCTTGCACGGCTTGGCAACAAGTACGCGTTTATATATCTGAGCGTGCGAAGGCACAGGGACGCAGCGCTTCGGTGTGCCAAGAAAGCTTTGATCACGCCGCGAGGCCGGGGAAGCTTGCTTTCGAAGAGTTGTGCCTTTCTTCTGCAACGCTGCGCTCTCGTAAAATTTTCTGCGTGTTTTCAAATGCAAGTCTCACCGTTTTTACCGTGATTTAAAAAACTTCTTCGGCGAATGACAACGAACGAGTAGATAACGAGTCTTCAGGGCGCTGCCGCCGTGGTCTGCAAGGCTCACAAAAATGCGATTTCGCCGCATGCAAGATGGCCGTCTGGTGGCCGCGCTCGCGGAGCGGGGAAGCCCTATCCAGAGCCGTATATGTACAGAGTTTGGACAATGGGAGGCGCGGGCAGAGTTAGGGCGTGCGGCAGACTCGGAAAGAGGGCTTGGCATGCTCTCTTGACCAGCCAGAAGCCGAAAAGAATCTCCTAGTGGTGGTCGCGAGAAACAGTTCTGAGCCGATCGATCATCGAAGGTCTATGTTCGTATATGGTTTTATTAAGTGCGTAACAGTGAAGTGTAGTAACTCTTTGTGGTTGAAAATAGGGTGCACGTGTTGTTTTCATCATGATCATGCAGAAAGATGTAAGAAACGAATGCGCCGCTCAACTCTGTTTTGCGCGGACAGAGTGTGACCGCTCTGACGGCAGATTCCCGGCCCTCGGCGTTTGGCGTACGGATTATGTCGATCGTTCCGCTAGTCGCATTCTTCCACCATCATTTTGGATGAGCGTGATTGAAACATCACGTGTACCATATTTTCAGCCATCGAGAGTTACTCCAATGCAGTTATCAGGTTTGTTTCTCGCGACCACCGCCAGGGTATTATTTCCGGCTTCTGGTTGGTCACATTCGAATTTCTGAAGACGCCCTGGAACACGCCCAGCCCGCTTTCGGCCAATGGCGCCTCCTCATTTGTCTCCTATACTTCCCAACGAATGGCCAAACTCTCTACATATACGGCTCTGGCCCTATCCGCGCTAGAGCACTATATAGCTCCTTCGGAGCAGAGTAGCGCAATCTAGAACGCCGCCTCTCGGCGACTAGCGGCGAACGCCCGGAGGTTCCAACTGCGGTCAGAAACGCATGGAGAACGTGAGAAAATCGTTGTTTCTTCAGTATTGTGGGAATGTACGGAATGGCAATCGTTTTGGACATAATAATGGAACATTTTAGAATAATTTGCGCGAAGTTTTGTGCCCCGCAAGGACCTGACTTTTTTTAAAAAATTGCTTGAACGGCATTATGCAGCAGACGACACGGCGACGTCACACCATTCACGTGACCCGCTCCGGCCAACCCGAAAAGCCCATCTCCGCTGCGAGCAAAAATCGTCTGCTTCAAACGCCATTGCCTTGGAAATTGCCTTCTCAAAATTTGCACACGCATCCGATATTATTAAAACTTTGATAAAGTGTTTAGTGCTTTACTAACTTCACGACAGACTAGTTTTGAAAAGTGTGAACTCGCCGTTCATTTTTTAATCAGCCGTGTAGTATCGATCTCCATGTATTCTCCCATAGGGCGGGCCGCCTCCTGGAACCCTAAGTACCACGTGACTCGCGCCGAGCCGCTCTGTCGGCCATGTTGTCGGCAAAACACGGGGTTCAAAGGATTGCGCTACTCTGCTCCGTAGGAGCTATATAGTGCTCTAATCCGCGCGATCCAGCAATATAATTATTTTACAGAAATAATTTTTTTTTTTCAAAAAGTAATTAATTTTTTATCGTCTTTTTATTTACATACGTTAATTTTGTTTCTGCATAACCTGTTATGTGATTATGTAATCAAGTTTCAGTTTTTCTTCCGCGGAATGAAATCTGACAACAAATAACAAAACAGATTTGAGCCTAGACCTAGACCTAGGCTGTGTTCCAAAATTTACTCGATCCGACTCCGGAGTAAAAGTTTCGTACCGCGGCGTTCCAAAACTTACTCGAGCTTACTCGATGACGTCAGAACTCGCGTTCCAGAAGCGGGTTGTTTACTCCGGAGAAATTACTCGCGCTACCCTCCTCGATCGGGGGGTAAAGTCGGATCAAACCGAGTAAATACGTCACGTGATCTGTTCGTCGTCTGCTTTCTGCGCCAACAGCCGTCAAAGCTCGCTTGCTCCGTTGGTTTTGGTGGCGGACGTTCGAAAGGACAAAGAATTAGGTGCAGCATGTGTGGTTATTGCGATTTGCTGTTGTCAAAGCAGGAATTGACTGCATTACATCCAGACCGTCCACCTTCCCCGGGAACGTGTACTTGTTATTATCTGAGTGCGAGTGTAAACAGGAGCTTCTCCGCATCCTCGTCCCCGGCGTTAGGGGACTGCCGTATTCTCACGTTCAAGGCCGAAAATGTTTGAACTCGGTATATGATAATGTAGTATTTTTGTTTCCTCCAGAGTGTGTGTAATGAGAGGATAACGTTTGTAAAGCAGTGAAGGTTTCGAAAATTTCACTGTAATCACATTCGCGTCAAAGCGAACGTGAGTTTCATATCATTCTGGAGAAAGCACCCTCGCGCTGTACCGCTACACCGTGTGGAATATATTTCTGCAAAACATAATCGGTGCAAATTACAATACGTGGAATATATGCGTTTAGGGCACCGTGACTAGAATTGCAGCGATCGCGCTGATTAATAAAAACATATTTTTTTATGTCTAGCTGTAAGGAGTAAGTGATTTTGATCTCAATATACAGCTCAAAACGAAGGTGAGTAAAAGGAGCTGGTGGATCCACCTCAAAAAACACCGCGTCTTAACATTACCGTTCTTCGGGTGCTTTCTCCATGATCAAAAGGATCGTCTGCTATTTTCTGCCATCGCTGTTGTGTTTTCTTTTTGCCGTCGCCCAAGACAAAGCCAATCCGCGTAGTATCCAGGTGATTATCCTGGCCGTTCCAAAAATCGAGTCGCGGATCGTTTACTCGCGATGTCACGTGGTATTACCCGCTGACGTGGGAGGCAGATTACTCGGGTAAGATTTGGAACATAGCCCTAGTCGCATAGTTCGAGTACAGTTCGAGCCACTCGCTGTCGAGTTCGGTCTTTCAGTGTTCAGCCAGTTCAGCCCCGTAAAAAGAAGCGCCTTGGTGGGTGACGGTAAGTTCGTTCCTTATCAAACATTTCGTATGCGCGGCAAGCTTTCTCGGAAGGACTGGGTAGTTCTGTTGTCTCCTCAAATTGTGGGACACGTGTTTTGGGCTTGACAGCGCGGTGGTCACTGTGTCAAACGAAAACTCTCCTTGACACCGTTAAAATTGCGCCAACTGAACAAGGGCAAAGAGGCACACACATAGGACCCGGTAGTTTTGCGCTTTTATGCTGAACTCGAACATTATTTTTGGACCCTATATACTTTTTTTTTAATCTACCTTCTTTTTACAGACGCCCGTTGCAAACACACTTTTGACGGGGACGTTCCAAATGGTGATATCTTGCAGAGGTCGAGATATTCATTTCACGTAAACTCGGGTAATAAACTTGAAATGTGCAAAGATGGTAGCAGCGACAGCCTTTTGTTTGGCCACGACAGCCTATATTTCTGCGTCTCGACTGACTGAACAAGAAGTACAAAGCGTCTCGGCCTCCAACGCCAACACGTTGCCTTCCATTGTGCTGCTCGTGCGTGCACGTGCAGCTCACGAGAGGCAAACGTGTTGTCGAAAGTAGAAACCTCGCGGGAGCTTTGATGTCGCGGGCCTGTAATAAGGCGGAGCCAATTGAGGGGGCGGTTCACCGAATGACACGAAGTACTCGGGCACCGCGAAATGGCGTTTACGGGTGGGCCTAGTGGGTTAACATTTTTGTAATAAGCCGCCGCAGATTGTCGCCGCGAAGTGGCCTCTCGGCGGAAGCGGGTCACAACCGAAAGACTTCCCTGTCATTGCTGTCCTCTCAGGGACCATATCTTCCGTACAGTCAGCATGAAATGAAACCCGAACGCCGAAACGCGTGGCCGTTGATACAGGCTGCTCCACCTGGAGGGCCCCTGAGAACATCGAAAGGCCATAAATAAAAAGCAATACAGCATGGCAAAGCAAAACTGGGAAAATTACGAGCTACAGAAGAATAAAGTAAAATCTCTAGTGGCGACAAAAATTCCGAAGATAATCACGAAACACGAACAAGCCCTACAAGAAAGCGACAACAAAAGCCGTTGCTTTTGTAGATATGTGCGATCTCTCCAACCACACGAGGACTTTGAACACAAGACGGTAGGGAGTGGAGAAGACCAATGGACCACTGAAGAAGAAATTGCCGAGGGAATGACTAGATACTTTCAGGGACTTCAAGCCTCCCTCTACAACAAACCAAGGACACAGGAGTAAACATCCCTACGACCTCAGGAACAATTTGACCGCAGCATTCTTGAACCAATAGCGCCCGGTGAACTGCAGAGACATATTAATAAACTAGAAGCTTTAAAGGCAGTAGGTCCAGACGACATCCCCAACGAGTTCCTGAAAAAGATTAAACCGGTAGCACAAAAGCACCTAAGGTACCTTCTAAACAACATGCTGGCAAAAAATGCTATTCCTGAAGCCTGGAAACAAGCCAAAATAAAACTAATCTACAAAGGAAAAGATAAAGACAAGAAATCGTTAGACTCATACAGGCCGATAACAATACTAAGTAATGTTTACAAACTGTTTGCATCAATTCTGCAAGACAGACTACAGAGACTCTGTGAGAAAGCCCATCTTTTCAGCGAGGCACAAAATGGATTCCGTAGGAACCGGCGGGGCAGCGACAACATATTCACTGTCACACAACTAATAGAGCTAAAAAAATCTAGATAGGTCACCACTCTATCTGGCTTACCTTGATTTGGAAAAGTCCTATGAGGCAGTGCCCCATGAGAAGATGTGGACGAAGTTAGAAGCGATGGCACTGGATGTTCAGACAGTATCGCTCTTCAGAAACATGTACGCCGGATGCAATGCCAGATACAGTTTGGGAGAACATTTATCAGGGCAGGTGAACATGATTGTGGGTCTGCACCAAGGCTGCCCCCTTTCTCCAACCCTGTTCAACATCTACATCAACAATCTCATTCTGGAGCTGCAAGCCAAAGGGCAGGGTGTTTCTTTCACAACCATTACCTCCAGTAATGACATGGAAACAACTTATATTCCAGTACTGGCCTTTGCTGATGAAATACTCCTGTTATCAGAGAATGAAACTCACCTTCAAGACATGCTCGATATCTGCACTCGAATTGGGAATGAAGAGCGATTCAAATTCAGTAAGGAAAAATCAAAGTGGATGGGCTATAATGTTCACGAGCCTAACCACACGTTTAGAGTACAGGAGGTGGAAGTAGAACATACCAAGGAATGCAGGTCTCGTGGAAATGGAGCGTGCTGGTTAAGTTACGGTGTTTGTGGAGAATAACATAGAGGACGAAAACAGGACGACACGTTTCTCCAACTGGCAGCATACATTTATTTTGACGCCCGTCACCGAACGCGACAGTCACCGCGCAGAGTTGGAAGGGTTGAGGAGGACAGAGAAGGAAAGGAGGGTGGGGGTGGAGAGAGGAGGGAGATGGAGGGAAAGAGAAACATGTTTTTAGCCGGCAGCGCACGCCGAAGTCAAAAAGGGGGGGGGGGGGGGGGTAATAAGGGAAGTGACCTTGAGGAGGGAAGGGCGACCCTACTTCAAAGGCGCCTACGTTTGTCGCAACTCCGGACGCAGAAAGGAAACGTCGGCGTCGGAGAGACAAAGCGATGGGGACCCGATGTTTTGCGGTGAATGGCGCATAGCGAAGGCTTCGATAATCTCGCGGCCGTATCTTGACCTGTGTGTGCCCACTGTCGTGGTGGCCGGAAACTCTGGTTCGCAGGAGGGGCAAGAACCGACGTGCTGGGCAATTGGGTGCAGGGAAGTTATAACCCATACACCCTTGCGAGGGCACTGTGGAAGAGTGTCGCAGTACCGGCGGTCACCGATGCTAACGACGCAGTGGTCTTCCAACAGACCACCCTGAAGACACTGGATCGCCATCAAGTGGAATTCGGGAAGTGGGCACTGGGCGGAAACGGGGCAACTGCAAACCTGGCCGTCACGGGAGAGATGGCCTGGTCGACATTCAAGTAACGGGATGCAAGGGCCAAGCTCGGATACCTCGGGCGCCTGATCCACATGCCAGACGAAGCGTACACCAAAAGGACATTGCACTACGTTAGATACCGCAGCAGCAGGACGAACTGGTCAAACACCATCGCCAGGCTCGACTCTGTGTACAGCAAAGGGACAAGGTGACATGAGGCCACATCGGAGAAAGGATGGTTCAAGGCTGTGACAGAGGAGGTGAACGCGATTGAACTTGAGGCCTGGAGACAAGCGGTGAGGAAAAAGCAGAGCATCTACGCGCTCCACAAGTCTGAGCCGTCTCCCTGCACACACTACCGAGGGGACCATGAAAGCGCGCTACTGTTTCAGGCACAAGTAGGAGCGCTGATGACAAACTGCCGACGTGCCCAACTCTTCGGAGACACCGACACAGCCTGTCATCTGTGCGGGCAGTCAAGCGAGGACGTCTTCCACATGCTGCTGTGGTGCCCTGCTCTAGACCACTGTCGACCGCCCTGGGCGACCAGCGAAGAGAGGATTACCGAAATGCTGGGATTCGGGGAAGGAGCCCACAGTTCACTAACAACCAAGCGCATTTTCGTTGAATGGGACAGACTGTCTGATCGCCAACCAGTGAAAGTGTCCCAAAAGTGGGAAAAGCTAAAACAAAACAAGAACTAAAACTTTTACCTGTGTCGGCAATCTGAACTTTTGCTGACCGCCCTGTCTCAAAAGGGGTTAGGTACCGCCAACTAACTAACTAACTAACTAATGAAAATGCGCGAGGGTGCGGGTCCTACTAATATGAGCTCTACCCTTGCGCGGCGCGTCTGGGAGTTCCACTTTTGCCGGTGGCACGCTGTAAGCGCCGTCACATCAGATACAAAACGCACTCACTCGCTTTTGAGTACCGGATTTCCAGCGATATCTCTTCAGCGCTGCCATTAATTATCGCTCTGTGTATCGCAAGGGCGAAATGAAAGTTGAAACATTTCGTGCACAGAAGACCCGTAGTGCTTGATGACGTGTCACCGGAACCACGCTGGGGCTTTGGTGAACAGCGTGCCACGCGCGGTTTCTAAGAAACAGTGGGACGTCATAAATGCAAAATAAAATTTCTTTATTTGCACAACCATGCTATTTATAAAAAAAAAAAAGCTGCAACAGACAGTCGTGGATGACTCGGTTTTTATGAGCCATGCCCAGGTTTTTGTGCGAGGTTTTCAGTCGAATCTTAAAAAGCGAGGAATTGCTTGCTGACGTTCTCTTTGGTAACCACCGATATGCCAGGAGTATCGATTCCAGAGCGGAATAAATTCATCACCCTGTCTCAGCAGGGCCTCTCGTAAAGTGCTATAGCCAGGTTAAGCGGTCGCCCGGTGTTAACCGGGTGACAGTGCGGCGACAGAAAAGCACCCAGAGTGACGGCGCTTACAGCGCGCTACCGGCGAAACGCGGAAGTCCCAGACGCCCCGCGCGAGGGTTGAGGACATCTTAGTAGGACTCGCACCCTCGCACCCAGGTGCATTTTCATTAGTTCTCAGGGGCCCTCCAGGTGGAGCAGCCTTTATCGATGGCCACGCGTTCCGGCGTTCATTTCATGCTGACTGTACATAAAGCTTAGCTTTTTAGACGAATTTCCTCTGCCAAGCAAGTCGTTTCGTGTCTGCTCGCAGAAACAAAAAAAAAACAATGTGAAAGCTGCAAAAGTCCGCATGCCTAGCATCAAGGCGTCCAGAGTCCGAAGCAGTTTTTGTTTTAATGTGGGAAGCTTGACCATTGATATGATCAGAATTGTCGGATTAAGGGCGCAGTCACTCGGAATGTGTTCATTTTTCGTGTGCACAAGCAAAAACTGATAGAGTAGGGAGAGATGTAGGGGTGTGTGAATGGTGGTTTGAATCGGAATGCGCAGTATCGTCCCCAGCTTCAACACCGTTAAGGCTGGTTCACACATTTGCGTCGACTGCATGGCGCCGTGCAGCACAGCGCCTCCCCATTAGCTCGTCTTAAGTGTCACCACAACTCAACACAAGAAGTCTTAACGAGACGCAAATGGTTGCAGTTTCGCTCGAATGCAACAGTGTGAACAAGCCGTTACGAAAACCGGTTATCTTGAAAATTTGAATCGTCATTTTTGTTCAGCTCGCGTGCACCTTTGCATTTAATTGCATTATTATTGGCTATCTTGGCTTTGAATTGTGCTATGAAGGCTATGATTGACGCAGTGCTGTTAGACTCGAACCAGCATTTATACATTTCCTGTTAATGGAAGTGCAGGTTGGGAAGAGTTACTTTAATAAGTATATTTTTTTACTAATATCTGACAAATCACTCTTCAACAGGAACTAAGGAGGCATTCTGCATCCATCAAAACATAAGAGCTAAAGCGATGCTTACAAATTTGCAATTACAATGGCATGCTGTTATGTGCATGCTAATGATTGTAATACGGGCTTGGGACGATTAAAGACAAAAATGGGAGGCTGCAGCAAATTTTTCGGCGGGCCGGAAGGAGCCAAAGCCCCGAATGAAGATCCTTACCTGTCATTGCCAAGCTCACTAAGTAGACTTTATTTTGTCGAACTGTCATACAGTCATCACAATAGACCCTCTTCGAAATTTTGAAATAATGCATAGATTATGTGCGGCATTATATTTGGTAATTAATTTATTCTCGCCCTCCCGTGCTTGTGGGACAAAATGTCTATTTCACACGCATTGTTTTTGTAAATATTTATTCTTATCCTTACAAAAAAAAAAATGTGCAGGTTTATTTACTTAGACCGTGGCGGTAATGAGATCATCCAGTCCTCAGTCACTTTTGAAAGTCGGAAACATATTTGACCGCTCTGAATCTTAACAAGACGTGTAGAAGACCAGAGCGCAGGGTACTTTTGCACCTCGGAGAGTTGGGGGAGTGACTTGATCTTTTCTGCAAATTTTCTGCTTCTCAGGTCGTTTCTGCCCTTGTGCTTCAGACAGAATTCCTCTCGTCTGGGGATTGCGGTGCAGAAACAAGGGACGAAAGCACGAAAATGCCGATGCTGCTGTCTGACCGATGGGCAGTGGATCCGAAGCAGAAGGTAGGACCTTTTTCTCCTTTTATAGCACTTTGTTTGCAATTTGTTGGAGCAGGAGTGACCATCCCTGCGGTCGTAGATGAACCGAACACCAGACCGGGTGTTGGGGACTGCGGGGTAACCACTAAACATTGGGCAAGTTGGTGACTGCATCGCAGGGTGTCATTGAGTTTGAAACCTGGAATATAAAAGGCCCTCGAAATGCTTCAAATCTGCTTCGACTCCTTGATGGCCCCGAGCGCCCAGTTTGATTTGGGGTACGATTGGAATAAAGAGACGGTTCTCGGCGAGGCACCAGAAAGGGGAACTGAGCTTGTGCTCGAAAAACGAAATGTGCGAACGTGTAACTGTTTTTTTTTTAATAAATTTTAAGACTAAATGGTTTGATAGTACAGTAATCCCTCGTTACAACGAAGCTAGCAGGACGGCAAAAAAATCGATATAAGTGGTAATTTCATAAAAGCGAGAGCTAAGAAAAAACAGTGCCAGCAGCCTTGAAGGTGGACAGGAACACTGTAGAACACTCTGACCGTATATTTAATCAAACAAACCTTGGTTATGAACATCTCGCGATAGCTTTACCGAGTAAAAAACAAAAAGAAATAGATACGTGGAGTTTGCCTATAATTTCATCCGGGCATCAGTTCTCGAACTGCTTCAGGCATTGCAAGAACACTGTCACTGCTGCTGCACTCCACTTTGTTTGGAAGCAGCTGGGGGGTATTTCGAGTCTCCGCAGTTGTCGGCGTTTCCCTACGTGCCTCTCGGACGTTGCTTCATGTTTACTCTGGCCGCACGCAAGGTCGATCGCAGCATCTGTGACGGGAGCGACAACGGGAAGGCCCGCATTGACTAGCACGAGCAAATCAAAGTTGTCCTCGGTGGCTTTGCCAACATGTTTTCAAAAACTCCTGTAGAGAACGTTGCAGCTCAGGGAATCATGCGCCGGCTCGGCAAGCATGCTTGCGGGAGAAAATCCGACTTGCGCAAAGCAGTGTGCGATCTTTCACCTTCGGGTCGCGGACACGCTTTCTCTTGCATGAGACGCTTCTCGAACCCCTCCAATATGCGTTGCTTGTTCTGCAAAATGGTGGACATTGTTGAACAGTCAATGCCGGTATGTAGAATTCTTTGGCGATTTCGGACTTGGGTGGGCCACTTCCCTCAACATCGCAGATCTGAGTGACTTTCGGTATACAATACCAATCTTCCGTACGACGCACGTGTGCATGTAGTGCGCGCGTTTGGGGCTCCCGAAGGGGTGATCTTGTTCAGGCTCCATCACTCCCTTGACCCGATTCCAACAGGAGTCGCGCAGCATCGGCCGTGAGCACCGTGAGTAGCGTCGGAACGTGGACACTGCTCCTGCTGCTCCCTGCCCACGTTGGCGCATCAGCATCGGAAGCTGCGCTCTGCTCTCAGTCACCCGTCTACTCCGTTTTCTTGTTTGCCGCTTGCTTCGTCGAAGAAGGAGGATGGAACGCTAGGGTCTCCGTTCGGCTCCATGTAGGCTTGCATGCTTTTGGCACTGCGGCCTTCGCAATAAGCGTGGTCAGCCACCGATACTTTGAATAATCCTGTTAAAAATGTCTGCATTTCGGTCGGGACCACGTTGAAGTTTGATAAAAGCGATAATTAAAAAAAAGGTGGTTTCCTTATAACGAGGGATTACTGTAGTTGATTCCGGCATTCCTAGGCAACCTAAGTTCAAGCATTTTGGTAATAAGGCTCCGTACGAATCCGAAGTATTGCCTGCAGGTACCTTTGCGCATTTTCGAAAGGCACCTAGTCTGATCTGCCATTGTAGCGTGCAGCTAGAATAGCAATGTCAAGTGTGTTCGTGGCTCAAAATGTAAAGCATTTTGAACCAACCGTCTGCTGTGTGTATGTGTAAAGTTCCCGTTGCCGGGAAGTTAGTGACGTCGTGATACCCCCCTTGCAGCAGGAGCTCGACGAGATCCGGCGTAAAGTGGCTGCGGATTTTGGAGAGACGTTCCCTCCGCCGCCACCTGCACCGTCGGTTTGCCCCAGTAAGTTTCGGTTGAGTGCGCACCACACTCGTCCAGCAGCATCAAAGGCTGCTGAGCAACAGACTCCCAGGCGAGGCATCAGGGCACGTGCCCCTTTGCCACAGCATTTTTGTTCTTTGCCTGCAAAAGTAATCAATGATTTTTATTAGTTGTTGCATATTACGAGTTAATAAAATATACCATCTGGACCTATTGGCCTCGAGATCGACCTAGAGGTGGCGCTACGGTCGCGCTATCATCGTCATCAGAACGGGGATAGGAGAACGGCCGCCCCATAAGCTCTCCACGTTCGCGCGCGAGACGGCGTATATTCTTGCGTTTATTTTGTCGCATACTATCAATGGGAAAACAATTCTAGCGGAAAAGGATGCGGTATTCTTCGGTGCTTCAGTGAAGATTGAATCGTGTTGCCAGCGTGCGGCCTAAATTTATATAATTCCTTCCGTGGGTACGTCGTCTGCTCTAGGCAGACGTTGGAAGGCATGGATCACCACGACTGATGCCTGTCTCCGGCTGACCTGGAATATTTATGTTAAATATTTGTTTATTTTAAAATGGATGTATCGGTTCATCAATGTGGCAATAAAGAAAAAACAATAAATTCCAACCCAGATAACATAATACTGGTACTGTGGGCTGTGAAATCGCAGCTTCTATGCTTTTTTGTTTAACTTCTAGCTTTTGCACTAATTTAAATATTTAGAATGAAGATAAGTTAGCGCTGTATTGGAAATTACCATGCTATTTAGTTCCTCTGCCCTTTTACTGTGCCATAGTGTGGGTAAGTTTTTTGGAGTCTGAACAAATCTACTGCGTTGCGATGAGGAGAGAGTGTCTCTTCTAGTTAAGATCTGCAAACTGCACGGTTGGCAGGACAACTGAAACAAGTGAAACAAACTGTTCTAGTATATCTGCCGTGACTGTCATAAACGGGTGTAACCGAGCAACGCAGCAATGTTGCTGTTATTAAATGTTTTTCTCGGTAGTCTGGGTTCACCCGCTTCAGTTTTCTTGGTGAGGGCCGCAGATGTCAAGAGGCTAATACTATAAATTTCCGGCTAAATAATCTTGTATTCAAACACAGTAGACTCTGCAACCCCAACAAACGACGCGCACCATGACACAGGCAGCATCGGCCGCAGTGATACTCTTTTACCGATGAGGGCTAGCGACCTTCACGAGACTTTCCGATCACCCTCCACCTTCACCTAACGTGGCAGTTCATAGATTAACTTTCAGATTATTCAAGTAATGCTTTAATTGCATTTTTTTTGCCGGTTAATTGGAGCCTTGTGCTGGAGAAAGTCAACAAGGAGTAAAAATTGCCTACTTTAATATTTTTGACGTCTTTATTTCTTTTGTGACACTGGCTTGCACGGTAAACCACTTCAGCGTGCTTGTCATTTCACCGAGGGTGATTATACTGTTTAAATAATAACTTTAAAAAAATTAATTTTAAAAGGCTTCCCGTGTTCGTATTTATGTAGGACTCCCAACGTGAAGTTTAGAATGGGAATGCAATATGCCATATATGACATAGTAAAACCAGTAAAAAAAATGTATAGTTTTAATGTCTTTCACGCAATATGACCGGCAAAAAATCAACATACGGATTTATTGATTGATTAGTCTATTAAAGAATAGCGATCAGTCAGGTTAATTTTCTAATCAAACCACAGAACCACCCAACATTCAATGCTTTATGAAAGCCACGGTTTGTGCGAGATAACAAAAATATGTGGGATCACACTTTAAGATTATGGAAGCTTCCGACTTAATAATAATCGCTTTGCTGAATTTCTACGGATGGGAAACAATACAACACAACCTTTAGTAAAAGAAACGGCAACAAAAACATAAAACATTTAATAAGGAATGTCAAGCTCAGCCTTAAACGGGCTTGCGTCGTCATGATCCATGCTTCTGAGCGTGCACCCGTAGCAGACGACGCACGACGGTATCCCCGCTTTCGCGCGTTTCCAATTTCGGCCGCACGGTGGCGATACGGTTCGATCTCGAGGCGAATAGCCAGTCTGGCTAGTTTGGGCCCATTCTAATAAAATATGACAATGGCCAACAATAAAGGCACCCGTGGTGAAGTTGAGTCGTTTACGATGACACCGTTGCGGTACCAAGATTAACCGTTGGCGGCAACGTTGCGCCAAAATCGTGATCTCGTTTATATAGGGTGTTTTATTATCTTTGAATGTTCATATTTTATATATAAAATAATGAGGACCGAATATGATAGCGAAATCAGTCCAATTTGCATTTGAAGACCTCCCGGTGACCCAGAAAGGCATAAATTCGAGCCATTTTAGTGTGCGCTTCTTTGAATGGGAGCTCGCCATTTGATTTATTTCAGTAAGTGGTCAAGCTGTCTCCTTTCATTTGCATTCCTCTGTACATTCAATTTGTCGCAAAATATCTGTAAAAATATATATATATATATATATTTTTCTTTTCCGCTGCGAAAAAGTAATGTTACTTGGTAATTCTGGAACGTGTTCTTCTCTTTTCATAATTTTGAGGCATCTTTACAGTTAGTTCGTGCAGGAGATCTTCTGTTTTTAATAGTGTCCTACCAGAACCAAATTTTGCATGTGTATGCTTTAGGATATGTAGAATGCAGCTATCAAGGTTTTATTAGAACATATCATTCTATATTTTTAAAAATTTAGATCTTTTGTTCGCTCTTAGAAAAAATGTGGTTTCGCAATTTCCAAATATTTAAAATATAAGAGCTCTTGCACCGATTATTTTTGTTCATTGCATTCATTATATTGAGGGGGGACACTACCTTAAAATTGCAATATCCTGATGGATGTTGTGAGTTTCACTACTGTAACTAAAGTATATTTTCTGGAATAAATGATTTAGGACATGTTGGCACCATTTAAACTGCAGCTTTCTGAGCTTTTAGGCACGTTTTATCTCAATTTCACTTTTTGGCATAAAGTCTCGGTTCAGAAAAACTTTCATTGGATAATGAATTAATGTGTGGAGCCACTTTTTTTAAGCTCCTATACTGAAATTTTGTAAAGAATGCGACTGTGAGCTTCGTTTCTGCATTTTCATGACCTTTCGTTGTGTAAAGCTGTAGTATCTTCAACCTAACCTGATGTAAACAAAAACAAAAGAACTTTTTTTTAAAATGAGGCTTATAATTTACGTAATTTACACTGACACGTGAACACATCCCTGGTGACTTTGTACCGCGGTTGCGTCGGGATATTCCTCCTATTCATTTGGAATACTCCTGCTTTTGTATTATCACGCTCTTGTTTGCTGGCTCTAACGCTCAGTAAGTAGATGAAAACAGATACTGAGCCAGACTGATTGGGCTGAACAAGGTTTTGCTGGTTTGTTGCCCCGTTGAAGAAAAACACCAGACTAAAACCAAACCCTTTTCTTTTTTTCTTTTTTTTTTTAGGTTACTATAGTTGGGTATGGGCTAAGAATTCAGTGGAAGCTCCACCTCCATTACGCACTTGTTGCCTTCCATCAGGCTTCGACTGCACGTGCGACGAAGGGTTACCAAAGGCAGAAAGCTCGAGATGGATACGAATCGCGCACTGAATTCTGAGCCCGTTGCGGACTATAGATAGTACACTCATATCGTAAAACAAATTTTCCCAGAAGCAAAACGAATTTTTCCATAAATCTTGTGTTGTAATACTTGTATGTGCAGTTCCGAAACATGCTTCTGTTTCGGGATTGCAGTCTCGAATAGAAGCATGTTTCGAAACCACTCCTACCTCAAAATCTGTCTCTCAACATCAATAATGCTCTTTTTATTTTTTTTTTATTTTTATGAAGGTTGTCTTGTGGAGCTTGTGCCCTAGACAAATACATAAAAAAAAGAGGCCGCATCTCCACGTGGTGAGTGATCTTGATTGGGGCGAAGCTCTGGTGGTGCTCATGATACTGATTTTATTGTTCAAAGGTAGGGCTGATGGTGCCAATTTTTTTTTTTTATTGCTCATAGGTAGTGCTGTGTTCTGGGTCGCGTTTCGACTTCATTATTACTGCTTTATGGTCGGTGAAATGCAGAGCCAGTGGTTCTTCTAGCAGATCAGCTTGGATCCGCTAGAAGCCGTGGGAACGCATTTCCACCACTTAAGTCAACGGTCCATGTCAGAAAAAGAGTGTGTGGTATGGATCGTGGTTATATACGCAGTTGAGCATTTGACCGCAGCACCCTCTCTTGTATAGACGTTGAGCGGCTACATGCAACGTTGGAGTGTGGAGTAGTGGTTAAGACGTCTGCCTCGTAAGCAGTGGTCCCGAGTTTGAACCCCGTGCGGGCGTACGTTTTTTTTTTTTTTAAGTGGGCCGATCCCGGAGGCAGTGCAATCGATGTGAGCACGGACGCCGGATGGATGGACAAGGCTAGACCATAAGGAGCTTCGCCCCTAAAAAAAAGAAATGTTGGAGAGTTTATTGTTCGGTTAACCTAGCGAGGTTTTCGACCAGCTCAAACGGGGGAGTCCTCTTTCCAAATGAAACACCTTCCTCAGTTGGTTTTTTCGTCTTGCAGGAAGGGGACTCCTGCCATGCCCGAGGTTCACGCTGGATGACGTGAGTAAATTGCGAACGTCGGGAGTCCGACTGGATGCTGGAGCGACCCGTTCTCGCTTTCGCAGCTGACGGGAGTGCGGGTGGAGGTCGGGCAGAGGCCGGGCCAGCGCCGGGTCTTCCTGGCGAGTGGCGGGTTGGCCAGGCACAATGGCGTGACGAGCGACGAACTGGAGGTGGTGGTCAATGCCACCGGGGACCGGTCGCGCACGGTCAGGATCAGGGAGTCCGCCGTCCCGCGCAGGTGCCTCGTCTGCAAGGCGCAGGGTGAGGCTGCCTTGTGTACCATTCAAGCGAGGGCACTGCCGTCTGCTACTCACAGCATCCGGTTTTTTGTGTGGAAACTTGATTTCGCTTTGTTGTCTACGGCGAGTGCAGTTCCAGTCTCGTTCCACAGCGTTTTGTTTCATTTGCCGAGTTTTGCAAATTTTAGGTGCGTTTTTCGGTTTACATACTGTAATATCCTGAGTCATCACCCAGCCCCAAGTTTTCGCCCAGCCCACTTTTTGGGCCAATATTTATTTCCAAGAAAACAGACATCGCCCACCCCTTCAAATACCCCAACGCTGACTCCGCGATCCGCAAACACTCATCCTGCCCGAATGACGCGGCTGCGGACCTTACAGTTGAAGGACGTCGGTGACAAAGTAAAACGAAGGAGAGAAAGACACCTCTCTTTGTTTACGCATTTCCTCCGCGAGCAACCTCAAAGTACAGTGTATCTGTGCGAAAAGTAAGCGATGGAGATAACAAAACAAGTTTGTTTTGCTTTAAAAAAAATCGTCCCACCAAAAAACAATAAAGTTGCAAAGATAGCACAAGCAGTAACCCGTCCAGGGATCACGAGGTAAGCAAACACCCCATATCCTGGGAATGTAACCGCGAAGTGTAAGGTCGGTCTCTCTCCGCCGAAGTAAGGTCACCGCGAACTCTCTTCTTCTTCTGGCAGGTTGCGATGCCGGTTTTGCTATGTTTAAGACAAAGCCGACGGGTAAATGAAGCTTTGCTGGAATGCCGCACGCAGACGTTTGCAGAGCGTCCAATTTAAAGCTCAGTGTTCGTGGTGCCGTTCACACCACACAGCAACACCGCCTTAACCCGCATTGATAGTGCGCCATTCACGAATGCACACATAAATGCACCAAACAAGAAAGTTGCACAAGAGCTTGCCATTGACAACGCATCTGCATTGCTCTTCATCGCTTCTTTAGTCCGCTCGCTCGTTGTGCCTGGTTAGTTTTTCTAATTTCTTGTAAACTTTTTTTTTTTTTTTTTTAACTAACGAGGAGAACATAGTGGTGTAATGTGCTTTCACGGAACAAATGTTTGCGCCGTATGCTGATCGGCAGTGTTCATGGTGTGTATGCAAGCAACGAACTTCACGATAGTAAAACATTCTTTTATGAGCAGTTTTTTTTAATAAAACAATGAAACTAATTTGAGTTTTGAGTTTCATGCATTTCTTCCGCAGCCGCGCTAGATACGCACAAAAAAGGAAGTTTCTTTTTTTCACATATTTTTTTACATTTGTGTTTACCCACCGAGACATGACCCACCCCAGTTTTTTTTATGAATTTCGGGTGGCAGGGGGGTGGGTGATGACTCGGGATGTTACGGTACTCTCGTAAACTCAAGTAGGTGTGGTGGCATTAAATGACTGAAACTTAAAGATGAGAAGGCAGGGACACCTGTTCATTATGAAACTGCTGTCACCTGGCAACTGCAGCAGTCGATGCGGGAAGCTGTGGAAGGTGGTCGAATAGGTTTCACTCGGACGACCAGTCGCGTTTGTTGCTGCAGGTAAACCCGACAAGGTTTGCATTCTGGATTTTGTGCAAATGTGCTGTCTTGACCTGATGTCTGTTTGTGTCCCTAAGAAGAGTGATTGGTTGTTTGAGTGCAATGAAGGTGAACTGGCACTTGTGTAGGTGGAACTCAGGTGTGAATGAATGTGTGCAGCAAACAAGCGGTGCCCAGTGTGCAAGGTGTTCTACTGCAGTGCCAAGTGCCAACTCGATGACTGGCCCTCGCACCAGACAACCTGCGGCGTCCAGAAAGGGTGAGCGGTACGCTCTATTTATTGGTGCACACAGTTGGTAACGGTGTGCAGTGAGCTGCGAGTGTGCAAGAGGAAAATTGGCGACTCCTTCGCCGGGGGGAAGAGGCAGTTAGTGATGTTGTTTTTTTTTGTTTTTCCTGATCTTTCAAAGGTCATGCTGGTGATATTCCACACTGCCTGGTAGTAGTTTGGGGAGGAAATGGGCTTAGAAGGAGGGAGAAATCGTATGTTTGTCTTTTTAGACTTGGGCTAGGTGGCGCAAGCTACCGCCTGTTACAAAGGGTATAGCCATTAACATCCATCCATCCATCCAGTGGATCTTCAAGTATGCCCTGGTGAAAGATGTGCTCCTCGGTACATCAGACCGGTTATTGGCACCAACCGAGATTGGTTTGGTAGACCGGTTATTGGCACCAACTGAGATAGTTTAGGGTTCTCCTTGAAAGGAAGATGCGTTAACTTGCACAGATCTGCCTCGGAACGGCTCGATTCGACTGCATTCTTCCCACAGGCAGCCCAGCCCTTTGCAGCAGCGGACAACAGCAGACGAAAAACAAGGGGCGACGCAGGCACGCCCATGTGGCCAGGTGGGTCAGTCCCAGTCGGTGGAGAGACAGACGCCCGGCCCCATCAAGACAAAGCTGCCCAGTCCGAAACCCACAGTGAGGAGACTGCTTTGTCGCAATCCCGCCTCTACACTTCAGTTCACTTTGTGATGCACCGCGGGGTGGTACAGTCAAATCTCAATTCGAACTCGAGGGGGACCAAACATTTGTTTGAATTAAACGAAGTTTGAATTAACGAAAGCTCACTAAATGGAGTACTTACGTGTAGCACTGCGTTGGGCTGCATGTGCACTGAGCTAACACATGAGTGACGAGTTCCAGGACATGTATTTTTACCGATCACAAAGGGAAGTAATGCGTGCCTGTGCGCGGTTCCTCAGTCGTGGTCTCCAAGCTTGGAGCTTAGAGACCAGCTCTAACGCGGTATCCGCAGTTCTTCTGGCAAGAGAAGTAGCGCGCGGTTTTGTTCAGCACTTTGAGTGCTCTTCATGATGCTGTGTTTCTGAGATAACGTCAGTCGCGCTCTCACTGAAAACACACCGAACCGCAGCAACGTGAGAGTATAAGACAAGAAACGGAACTGTCGCACCCCCGCTGAAAACACGCCGAAGAGCAGCGGCACAGCAAACGTTAGTCGTGTGCCCACCGAAAACACGTTGAACCGCAGCAACGCGCGAGTGCAAGGCAAGAAACGGAACTGTCGGGCTCCCGCCGAAAACGCACCGAACCGCAGTAGTGCGCGAGTGCAGGGCAAAAAACGGAACTGTCGCACTCCTGCTGAAAACGCGCCGAAGAGCAGCGGCACAGCATCGTCACCGTGCAAGTTAGCACCGCACTGCTCATCGCAGCATTCAAGGTCATTACGTGACTGGTTGTCATGGTTATTTGGAACTGGAGACATTGGAGGCGGTGCCGCGTGAGTTAGCCTAAGGCCGAGTTAGCCCGCTCCTGAAGGCATGCTTGGCGGCGCAGGATGTTCGAATTAACCGGCGCAGGCATTTAAGCGTTCGAATTATCGGGCGTTTTTGCCCATTGAAATATGTATAGTGTAGTCCGGACCACAGCGTGAGTTCGAATAAACCGAAATTTCAAATTAAGCGTGTTCGAATTAACGATATACAACTGTACGTGCCATCGGAGCCAGTCCAATGTCATGCGAGCATTGCACGAGCACCTTGATAGGCGCATCGATACACATGGAGCAGAGTCGCGCAAAATGCTCAGCAGCGTTGGATTGGGTGGGATGGCTCGTAACATCTGTGGTCCATCGCATGGTGAAGCAAAGTATAGAACACTGGAGCTGACTCGTGCGTCCTTACGCCACAGCCATTGCCCGCAGCCAGGGAACAGCCGATTGGCGAGGCGAGGAAATCCGACGAAAGGGTCGGTGCCAATCCTGCAATGCCTGCGAAGGCAGCCTTTCTCACACCCAAAGTATGTTGTCTTTCTTCCTTTTGCCATACCTCTTGTAGCTGGTTTGCAACGCAGCACATGCGTTGTCGGTCGCTCAACGAGGTGTCTTTCTCATGTCTCCTCTCCCGCATCAGGGCCCGCCCGTCAGGGCCGAGCTTCCAAGGGCAGTACAGCTGGAGCCAGCGTCGCTGCCCATGGACGAGTCTGTCGAGGTAAGGGGTCTTCCACCGTAGTCTCCCAAGGGACGCATCCTCTCGGTGCAAGGTTTTAACGACATACTCGTGGTGGCGCATCGAGGCGGAAGGGCCATGGCAATCGCGGGAGACAGCACACGACAGCTTCCGTCCTTTGCGCAGGTGACTGTTTGCTACGGTACGGACCTCTCGGAGCTGTTCCTGCAGCGTGCCTCCTCCCTGCCGGCCCTGAGCGAGCTGCAGGCGCGCCTGCAAGCGGTGTGTTTCACGGGGGGTGCCTACCGGCCCTCCCCGGGGTCCGCCTGCGCCGCCCAGTTTGAGGACGACGGCCAGTGGTACCGGGCACGAGTGGCAACGCTGCGCGACGGGCGCTGCACGGTCTACTTTGTGGACTACGGCAACAGCGCAGACGTGGCGGCGGCGCAGACGTGCCCGCTGCCCGAGGGCTGCGCGGAGCTGCCGGAGCAGGCGGTGCGCTGCGGGCTGTATGGGGTGCGGCCGAAGGGTGGTGGCGGATGGGGCGAGGGTGCCACCCTGGAGCTGGCGACGCTGATGCAGGGGCGCCTGATGGCCAGGGCATGCCGAGTGGCCGGCGGCAAGCACGAGGTGGAGCTTCGTGCCCACGGTGCGTAAAGCTCCTCGAAACTGGTCCCTCGATTTTCGCCCGATGTCTTATAAGTGCCGTGTCATTGCCTGTCGATGTTCTGTTGGTGGGGGCAAGGCAGCACTTGTTCTGTTAAGAGTCACTGCAGCCAGACAGTGGACAGGATCCAAAGCAGACATAGATTGGCATACAGTTATGACACCTTGCATTCACTCTCCTTTTTGGTCAGCATTCCTACAACCAACCGTCACAGAATGGTACCCCTGCTCTTGCGACGCATTGCCACTTCGGGACTGCTTTCCATTAGTGATTGGCCGAACTTTCGCCCAGTCAAAAGTTCGGCACAACCGAAGTTTTGTCATACTTTTTCTAAAGATTTGGCAAAAATACATTGTTTCCAGACTAAGTTGGTACCGTGTTTGCACGATTCTAACTCGCCCCCGATTCTGATGTGCAGGCAGATTTAGCTCAGATATTCGAAAGGTAAATGGCTGCCGATTCTACCGCACAGGTAAAACCATGAAGGTTGAACACATATCTCATAGACCAGGTTTTATGGAACTCGCGCCAATACAAAAATAAATGCCATGCACTAGTCGCCATTGTCAGAGCCTGACGATGGTTCTTCACTGTCCACAGAGGTAAGGTAATCCTTGCTTTTGTTTGAAGCATTTTAGGTGCTGCGCTTCTTGTACGAGTGCGCAACCATCGCCTCTGAAGGGTCGTCTTGGAAACAACTTTACGAGCTCTTATCACAAATACTCGCCCGTGACAAGTGTTTCACAACTCAAGTCGGAATCTAATCTTTCGCCTTTGTCAACACATTGGAAACTCAGTTGTGCTTCTTTCATAATATGTACTGCAACCTGCCACACCTAAACTCCATATACTGTCATCCTCATTTATACATATCTCAACAGTGTGATCATGTACTCAAAATTGAACTATTACAATTGCTGACTAATCGACATAAATTTCCTCCGCTTTCCCCATGCATCAAAGACTGGAACTCGCGTCTTGAAAACACTTCTATTTCGCCCTAAGTGCAAGATGTTTTTGGTGGAGTGACCACTTATGCTCCCGTGCCTCTTGTTTTTTAACATGTTTACTGTGAACTACCTACATAGTGCTGCTATCCAAACATTTAATGTACACCGAAATAATTAACTATTAACTTCTCATTCAGATGTTCTTGGGAGTAATTAAACTTGAACTTGGAAAACAGCGTCGTCTGCTCCTCTTGGCGTGTCTTGCGTTTGAATGCCAAGTGCTAGACTTCACGAAGAGCAGACAATGGTCTTGTTTGCTCCGATTGGGAAGAGACATCCGGTAGAGCCCGAGGCAGCTAGCCTTTTTGCCTACCCACTCTTCTTCCAATCGGAGCTCGGTGCTCCGACGTCACTGGGTGCTCTCGCATCCTCCTCTCCCTCTGTTTCTCATCGTATGCATACCGCAAGTTTGTCAGCTTCTTGCACAGGGGTTACGATGACGTCAGATTGAGAAGCTCTTATTGGCCGACTGAAAGAAATACAGTATAGACCACTTACAACGTAACCGCTTATAGTGCAGGACCGGGTATAACGCGGTTTTTTTAAACCACCGGTTCACCTCCCATAGAACTCCATGTAATTACATACCGCTTAAAATGCAGGCGCGCGAAGGGAAATACCGGTTATAGTGCGGTTTTCGGCACAGCCCGCCGACCGCGCCGACGACCGGAGCAGTGAGCTCGCTTCCCTGTGCGACACTAGATAACGGCGCTGACGGCGCGAGCCGCAAACTGCACTCGCGGGGAGAAGCGAAGAGAGAGGCTTCAGTTGCCATAGCGACGGAGGGACGCACGCACGTGTCGTTCACGTGCGTGCGTCCCTCCGCTGCCTCCGCTGCGTTGGAAACAAAGAAACAAACAACCGCAACGACAGACCAATCGCAGGTCGAGGAGAAGTGTTCGCGCGCGTTGCATGCCTCCTCTCCGGTCGCGGGCCGGCTGCTTCTATCCGCAAACATGGCGTCGGTTGTGATCGTCGTCGTAGACGGCGTTCATCTCATCGTTCTGCGTAAAAGCGCTATCCTTGACTGTGAATTTTCGTTGTGTGTCGCTGTGATAACCCAGCACGTAGTACTAGAAGGGAAGATCCACCTACTCGTGCGGCGATGTCGTGGCGGCGCTCTCAAGACGGCAGAAACGCCCGTGTCGTCGTGTTTGTTTACTTCGACTACAGTGGTGATTTCTAAGCATTTGTGTCCTCGAACATCGCCCGGATTTCTTGTTTGGCGCATTTCATGCGTGTGCTCAAGTTCAGGTATTACTGGCGCGTACGTATGAAGGATGCGAATTTTCACGCGTTTTCATCTCCGGAGAAAAGTGATTAGGGTTAGCAATCCTGAACACTCGCAACGTCCGTCCGCAACCCGCGACGCCGCTAAAAGGCTGCGCCAGGCAAAAGCCGCTCATTTCTTTCAAAATGTGTGACACACTTGAGAGAGAAGTGTACTAGTCTGGTGAAATAAAGACTTTCCTCAAACTAAGCTTTATTTTGCATCTAACATAAAATAGATTCTTTTACAAAGGTAAGTTGTTTCATGGCATGTATTTTGGCCTGAAAAATTGATGTTTTGGTTATAGCGCGGTACCGCTTATAGTGCAGATTTTCGCGACTCCCGAGACATACGTTATATGCGGTCTACACTGTAGTGGGTAGACCTCAAGGCATCTAGCGTTGAGGTCTACCCACTATCCTGTCAATAAAAGCCAATCGGAGCTCGGCGTCGGTCTGACGACTCGTGCGCAAGTAGCAGGCGACTTGCTCTTTGCATGGGTGGCGAGGTGCAGGCATTGACGCGCGCGTGTGTGCGCTTCCCCAGATGGCCCCAGCCTGAGCGAGGTCCTGGTTGCCAAGGGCCTGGCCGAGAGCACCCTACCGTCTCCGCCATCTGCCCCGGCGCCCCGCCGCCTGGCCTCTGTGCTGGGCCTGGCGAAGCCCGGGGAGGCGCTGATGCTGCAGGTGACGGCGTCCAAGGAGGGCCGCATCTGGGTGCTGGTTGCCCACCCCGGGGTCACCACGCAGCTGCTGGAGGTGGAGCAGGAGCTCAACGAGCGCTGCCCCAAGATGGCCGAGGGAGCCTCCCCTGCGCGCGGGTGAGTGGCTGCAGTTGCACTGCTGGGACGCGCGGTCTGCTGGTTGCAATGGTGGGCTCGTTCAGTTTGTCCGCATCGGTACAGAAAAGTGTGGCGCAGTGCACAGAAGTATATTGACACAGAATGTGCTTTAGCAGCCAATTTTCATGGAGTTCGGTAACGTCGGAGTGCAACAGCCGGCTGGTGAGGCCAGCTGTAACGAGCGGCTGTAAAGTGACAATAAAGTGTTACACCCATAGGCAACCATATAAAAAGACTTCCGTCCTCCGGTAGGATTCAAACTCGCCTCCTTGACATTGTGAGCCAAGCCCTTTGCCAACTGAGCTATCTGGGAATGCAAAAGTGAACTTGTTTGTGAAGCGCGTGAAGGCGCACCTGGCGGCCTCTCCCGTCATGCCACACTATCTCGCGTCGTGTGTCTGAGATGGCAGCAAATCTTCTGCAGTGCCGTTCAGGCGCCCTTCTCTTCTTCTCTGGAAGGCCTATCACGCATTCTGTGCTCACCAGCCTTTGTCAGCATAAATAAGCTTACATATATATATATTTCTTTTTTTTCTGGTTATGTTTTGAAATGGGCTGCACTTGTAAATCAAGTACGGCGGTGTGCACCTAGTGCAGGAGGGGCAGATAAATCGAACGCACCAGGTGTCACCCGGCGCGGACATAGGCTCGAACGTTGGCATGCCACGGGTTTGTCGGGGGATCCAGCTTGGGTCGTGGAAATCATTTTTGGACGATCTTGATCAGCTATCATTGAAACTATCTTCATAAGAGCCGGATGTTTTGCTCCAGCCCAAGGCAGGTGCCAACCTCAATGCTGCTATAAGAGCTCTCGCCGTAAAATGATCCTTAAAAGTCAAATTTGTTTCGAGTGAACAAAGATGGCCTCGCCACTTCACCCGTAAGCTGGTGTCGTAGTAGCTACATGCTTGTCGGGTCAAACAACCGCTTCCCTTTCATCGCCAAACCTTACTCTGCGCGTGGGTATGGGTGGGAGCATGATCACATGACGAAAAGTAGACGTGCTAGGACTGGCCCAACAATCACATAGCTTCCGCCGCACTGTCAGCTTACGTTTTAACAGACTACTCACAAACACATGGCTGTGACGTTTCTGTGCATGCACCGTGGGCGAGCGCAGACTCGTTTGTAAACAGCGTGGTGGTCTATAGTAGCGTCACATGCTCGAGCACGAGATCTATTGACCCTGGCCCTCGGCATTGCAGTATTTCCAGCGGGGACTACGTGGCGTCTAAATCGCTCGAGGACGGGCGCTGGTACCGTGCCTGCGTGGCCCGCGCCACCCCTGCCGGTCACACTGTTCGCTACGTGGACTACGGGAACGAAGAGGCCAACACCCGCGTGGTGCCTCTGGACGAGAGGCACCTGAAGGTGGGTGCAGCCTCCGCACGGCTGGATGCCAAGGACGCCACGTCCCTGCCCCTGGGCGCCACCCTCTCCTTCACCGTGGGCGCGGCGGCCGGCGACGGTGCCGTGCTGCACGGACAACTGGTCTGCGAGGACGACCAGAAGACGCTTGGGACGGCCACCTTGTCCCCCTGGGATTCGGGGCTGGGAGGGGAGGCCCCGGCCGCGCCCCTGGCCGTTCCCAAGGCGGCTGCCAAGGTGGATAAAGTCGATTCGAAGCCCAAACCAGCCGAGCCAGTCGAAGAAGTCAAGCCCGTGAGTATCTTGATTTGCGATGTGGTGTGGGGAACAAGCTAGGGCCGCCACACTGACAATTTCTCGTTAATACTAGTAAACTGTTTGTTTTATGTGCTCGGATTTCGCAGGGATGTATACATAGATGGTAGATGTTGAAGGAAGTGAAGCCTCCTTCCCAGAGGGAAGCTAATAATTGTTGCTTCTAGCCGTCAACCCTTGTACCGAGGTCGAGGTTACCTTGCGCACTTGCAACTTGGCTAGGAAGGCTAGGGAGGCTGGAGCCCAGGGCCACACCTGAAGAAAGGGGGGCCCCTTGCTCGGTTCTTGGGGTGGGGCCGCGGGGGGATTTTGTTCCCTATGTCGCCGATAAGGAGATTGCTGCTCAAATCTAATGAGCTAGACCAATCTGTAATGGGTAGATAATTTTTGTGACACTAACGCTTCTCGACGAGTGGTCGAGCCACTAACGTTTGCACAATTATGACTTCGTCTCACTTTTCTTTCCTGGTTCTTGAATTTTTTTTTCTATTCCTACGACAGTGTGCCATTTATTTAGGCTTAGTGCCGTTTTTGGACGCATCAAAATAAAGAATATTATTATTATTGTGCTCGGTAGTTGCGAACCAACTTGCCCGCGTTGTCACTTCAGTTTGACGAGGACAGTCTGTCCACTGCCTTTTCCCAGCAGCGCAGCATGGTGCAGCCACTCCTCCCGGAGCCCCGTGTGCTCGACGTGCCCGTGCGGCCGCTGCCGGCCGCCAAGCGGCGCATGCAGGCGGTCTGGAGGACCCAGGACGTCCTGTTCCTGCACCAGGAGGACCAGGCGGAGCAGCTGGCGGCCATGATGGTCCAGCTGAATGCCTGGGTGGGCGAGGCGTCCCCCCCTGCCCCCGCCGGCCGCCTGGCCAAGGGAGACTACGTGTGCGCCCTCTTCAGCCAGGACGACACCTGGTACCGCGGACAGGTGGGGACAGTCCCTCTCTTCGGGATCGCTGGGGGCTTGGATTCAGGGTGGCTTCGGCGGGTCTGCAGAGATGTGACGTAGTGTTGCCCGCATCTCTTTTTTAGACCTAATAAGGGACCTTTTCCCGATAAGCATCTGCACATGAGTACTCCCTCTCCCCTGGCCTCGATTCCTGCTGTCGCCATTTTTTTGAGGGCATGAGCATCGGTGGGATGGGGCATATTAAGAAATTTTAACCAATACAATGGTATCACTTTTTTTTTTTTTTTCACTCTGAGGGATGGGGTTGCGTGGTGTTGGCACTGTCGTAGAATGCTGAGCGGGCCTTTGTTAGAAATTGCGTGCCTTCATTCAAAATAAAATCATTGATCGATTGAAATGTGGCAAACCCTGAAAATGGGAGCTTGCTTCCTTCTCCTCTTTGGCATACCTCCTTTATAATTGCCTCAGTCAGTTAAAAGCAGAGTGCCTCGAATCCCGTCCTAGATGCACGCAATTTAGCAAGAGCTCATTGCGGAAAAGGCACCGCGAGACCGAGATTTTTGTTTCATATCGAGAGATCCCCGGGCAGTCGAAATGAATCTCTAGTCTTTTCGCCAGTTGGGGACTATAAACCCCCAAGAACGGACCTTGCCTCTATGCATAATGTCAGGTAGAAATGATTCTTTATTCTTTATTCTTTATTCAATGATTACCCCGCAGTGCCCGAGGGCGTTACAGCAGGGGGGGGTTACAAGGATGAAAAGAACACGTCTTCATTGAAACAGCACACTTGCTCTTCAGACAGCCGATTCCACTGTGCAATTGTTCGTACAAAAAAGGAGTTTGCAAACATGCATGTCCTAGCGCGGTACTCTCTAATTTTAAGACTATGATCATTACGACTAGAAACATAATAGGGTTCTTTTAAGTAAGTCTCGCTATTTATTCCCGTTTTATTTTTAACTATTGAGTATAAAAATTTTAGTCGCAGTTTTTCCCGACGTACGGAAAGTGGTTCCCAGTTTAACATTTTTTTCATTTCTGTACAACTTTCTTTCCTCCCGTATCGTCCAAGAACAAACCTAGCCGCCCTGTTTTGTATTTTCTCCAGCTTATCTATCAACGTTTTTTGGGCTGGATCCCAGATTGAGAAAATATAGAACCGAAAATAAACATGTAATGAGGCAAACCTGTTCCCGCAAATTTGAAGGGAAGAGTCCTACGCATTCTGCGTCGGTGACAAAAGGGCAACCGTACCGAGGCGGCGCATTACCACTGCCCTTGTGCACGCAGTACGTTCAGGTACGTTCCGAACCAGAACACGCGACGACAGCGGAAATCGGGTCGGAACTTTCCTGAAGAACATCAATCGATAAAACTAAAGAACTAGGCGCCGAGCTGGGGTTCGATCCCCGTTTTTTACGCGCGGCAGCCAGGACCTTTTCGAAGCGTACGACCTCGGCACACCTCTCCGCCCGCAGCTGATGAGCGACCGCTCGGCGGAGGGCAGCTTCCGGGTGCTCTTCATCGACTACGGGAACAGCGAGGTGGTGCCCCTGGGGTCCCTGCGGCCCCTGCCGCCCCGCTTTGCGGAGCAGCCGCTCTTTGCGATGTGCGTGGTGCCCCAGGGGGTGAGCCCCTTGGATCCCCGGCTGGAGGGCCTGCTGTCCGAGCAGCCCTTTGCGGCCGTCCAGGTGGGCTCCCAGAAGGGCGTCCCCGTGGTGCGCCTGGTGCGCAGGGACGGCACCTGCATCAATGACATGCTCGCCGGGCAGGACCCGCAGACACCACCCAAGGTATTCAGTCCCCCCCCCCCCCCCCCACCACCCCGGTATAACACGGGGATATCACCATCGCCATAGTGACCGTTTGTTTACATTCGCCATTTTGGTATCCATATCACGCGTATTCTCTTGAGTCTAGGACTCGTGTCTGCCGTCCTAAGATGGGAAAGGGAAAGAAATTTGACGAGGAGGCATTATGTAAACGGAAGGCCATCACGCTGGCAGGAAAGAATTACAGAGCAGCACTGCATGGCCTCGCTATCCCGACAAGCTTGCAAAGTGGTTTGGGAGACGACCTTTCCAGAGGCGACTCGCGCACTCGTACTAGCACAAAAGCGCGGCACCTAGAATGCTTACACGAAAACAAGATTCACCTTTGTGGACAGCGGAGAACCATCGTCGGACTCTGACAATGGCGACTAGTGCACGGTATTTTGTATTGATTTGAGTTTCATAAAATCTGTTTTATTAGGTATGCGCTCATCCTTCCTTTTTTTTTTTTTTTTACCTGCAAGGTACAATCGACATTAAGTTATCTTCCAAATATTTAGTGCCAAATATACCTGCACGTTACAGTCAGGGGCGCGTTACAATTGGGCAAACACGGTAACTGTTTTACAAAAGTTGCCTATCGACCTATCTATGTGCCTGCCGACATCGTTGTAGTTCATCCAGATTATAGCTTTTTTACGGGACATCAAAAGGTCATCTAACAAGTAGTGTCTGTTGTACATTGAGTGTTACATTGTGTATTTTGAACTCCCATTCTTGAAATTCACTCTGTGCGAGTTTTGATATAATAAACTACCACCCGCTATATCGAACTAATTATTACGTCCGACAGTTTGTTATAAATGGGTTTGATTGTAGAGGTCGTGTGCCTCCAGCTTCTGCGTTGCTTTTTGTTTCCGTTTTCAGAGCGTGTGCATGTAGCACAGCAGCAGAAACATTGCGGAATCTGTAGTGGAAACCTGTCGGGGTTTCCAAGTGGCCGTTCGATGCGATGCCGATGCGGCATCGGGAGCTTGCGCCGGAGGCGGGATAATCGAAACCCCTCCCCTCCGTTCTCATCTCTTGTTTTCCCAAAGCTGCAAAACAGCGCCATGCCTCACCCTAGAGAGTTGGACAGTGCACTGAGAACCCTAGGGCTACAGGCTCGCTCGACCTTGATCGACCTCTGGACCATGCGCAGGAGGCAGCCCCGGCGAAGCAGGCTCCGGCAAAGCAGGCTCCGGCAACCCCGCCCGCAAGCGCTCCCACGAGCGCGCTTGCCAGCGCACTTGCGGCTAAGGTTCTACCCAAGGCGGCCGTCGTGCACACCATTGCGGAGTGCCCCAAGCCCCAGGGCCGCTTCGAGGCGCTGGTTTCAACTGTCGACAGTAACACCGTCTACGTACTGCCGATTGCACAGAGGGATGCCCTCGCCCGGGTGAGTGAGCCTTTTGGGGGTCCAATGTTTTCTCGCGAATTGAAAGTTGAGGAGATTTTATGTTTCGTTACCCGCTAATCTGATTATGTGGTGGGAGCTACGCGCTCACCCAACCTGTCGTCAGTTTCCCGTTTCTCGCCCTATTCTGCCCTTTGAGCCACGGGTATGCGGGAAGAAAGAGAGAGAAAGGAGACGGGAGCGTGCGGGGGCGGCAGAAGACAGAGCTCTGGTTGGAATTATTTGTAGGTAGATGCAAAGCTTCCTTTGTCACCACTCACTCCTCGAATGCCACGACACCTGGCATTTGCATTTCCTTGCTCACTCTTTAAGGGGGGATATGGCCTGGGAGGGTCAACTTTTGAACCCTTCACCCAATTTGGTTCAGATTTTGAGGGTTATTTCAGCACTATGAGGAAGGGTAATCTGCAAAGTTTTAGCATTATTAGTCAACTTTACAGTATGCTACAGTTCTCGCACTTCAGAAAAAAGACACTTGATTAGGAAGTCTATCGTAGAAAAATAAAATTAGCTGGTGGCAAACTTTTTGCTTTAATGTGAAGAACAATACCCACAGTGCAACCTAGATAAAAAATAAATTGCAAAATATTCTATTATAACAAAATAAGAATATCCCAAAATATACAAAAAAAAATGTAAAATTTTTGTTTAAAAAAAAAATATTTTTTTTTTCATGAAGGAGTAGATTTTTTGAACTGTGAAGTAGTCTATCTTGCTCCCCAGAAAATTTCAGTCCCAGAAAACCTTGAATGATGTCCCTCTGTATTCAGAATGTCAAACGATAGCTTTCCTGAAACAAGAATTCCTGCCAAAAAGTGAAACTGAGAAAAATGCGTTTGAAGTTTCAACTTGTTCTTTTTTTATTTTCGAACGATGCCAGGAACTCGAAATTTACCCGAGTCATTGGTGGCACCTTCAACTACATGAGCATGAGGAGGGTAGTGCGTTGAGGCCCCCGAAGAGATTCGTGAGCTTTGTGAAACTGATGCCACAGTCTTTTTCCAACGACGCCTAGACGTACCGCGAGTTCGTTCTCTCGAAACTTGCCGATTGATGGTGAGTGCGGTGTCGCGACGACGTCTCCGCAAGTCGAGCAGCTAACAACAAACTGAAGGTTGATGCCATTTTCTTCTTGCAAGCTCAGTAGTTTTCCGTGGCACTTGAGGCAGAGTAAAATCGCAACAAGAGTCTGCATGGCGGACACATTGAGGAGCCGTTCAGGGGCTTTTCAACGGGAGCGTCTGTCAGCTCCGGGTCGTCCGTAATCCCCGCATCGAAATCGTGCAGGCTGAGCTTCCTCTCGAACGTGGTCAGCACATCCGATTCGGAGATGAAGCTGTAGGCTCCGATGTCCGCCAAGCACCAGTTGAGCTTTGAGATCGTGACGACGGCGGCGGAGAAGGCGACGAAAGGACCGGCGGAGACGGGTCCCAGTCTCCGCCGGCCCTTTGTTTCCATCGTTGAGAACGCCGGCCAAAGCTACTGCGAGTGCTAACTTTGGAAGCAGGTATTTCTCGGCAGAAAAACTACCGGGAACAAAGAGGGAAAACGAATCTAAACAGCGGCGAACTAGCGATACGATCAGAAGCGAAAGAAGCTGCCGATAGCGCGCGCAGGCGGCCAATCGTGAGCCCTGTTTCGGGTCACAACCAATGGGATTGCTGGTATCGTAGTTCCCACGTTTTTTCTGCTTGTATGTACGGGGTTCTCCCGGGACACAGATAGCCGCAAACGTAGCAAGCTTCTATGGGCAGAAACTAGAAGAAACGGCGCTTCCAACGAGGGTAAGATATCTCGGCTGCGTCGAACGAGCGCGGAGTAGGCCTATTTGAAAATGCCGAACTTCGCCGTCTGCTCGCTCGGCGGGTCGCCGCGCGCGGCCGCGAGCTTGCCTAAAAAAATTTTTTGAGAAATAAATACTGCGCATTTATAAATAAAACTTTTTGAAACTATACTTCAGTACATAGTGAACCCAAATATAATATTTTTTGAAAATGCATTTTTTCGTAAAAAAATGGAATTTCGGGGCTGTATCCCCCCTTAAACAGTGAGCGGAGGCAGTCAGCTAGATTTGCACCTACCCATTCCAACCGGACCTCAGCATTCCGACGTCTTCGCACATTCTCATCTCCTATTGCTTGATTTCTACTCGTGTTGGCAGGAGCGTGATCCCATGGTGGAAGGCGGACGTCTCACTGGTCCCGACGAACATGTGCCTTCCACAACGCCGTTGCCTGAGGGCTGGACGGAGTGTAGTTGATGCTCGGAGTAAGGGCGGAAATCCAGTACTTCGGTATACTATGCAGGGCATAAGTTTGTCTGCTTCTTGCGCAAGGGTTGCCGTGACGTCGGAATGCCGAGCTCCGAACAGCTATGGTTGGGAGAATAGTGGGTAGACCTCGAGGCAGCGAGCATTGAGTTGTACCCACTGTCCTTCTATTCAGAGCTCAGCATTCTGACGTCACTGAAACCCTCTCTGCAAGAAGCAGATGAACTTGCGCTCCGCATTACCAGGGTTTCATGTTTAAGGGGGAATTTTTGGTGGCAGACGAGACGTCTGCATTTATTGGGGCTTACGTTGCGGGCAAAGGACACCGAAACAAGATTCCCCAATCTTTGTGCTACACGGACACGACTTGAATATTTGGGAAACATCCCGGGCGCCAATAAGCGAAGGAATCAAGATGGAGGGGGGGTGCTGGTCCCATGGAGGGAAGCAGCCTCGCGTTTCAGGCTAACACAAAATAAGGCTCTTGATAATGACTCTTCCCGCGAATCGTGGGTTTTTCTCGTTCAAGGACTGCCCCAATCTGGGGTTTTTCAGCCTTCCTCCGTTTTTGATAAAATTCGGTTCAAGGCATTTTTCTCAGGGCTTGTCAAAGACACGGGTACTCTATCCATGGACGTCACTTTCCATGTCTAGCGATGAGGCGAATCACCGGCAGTTTGGATTCGGGCAGTTTCAAAAGTTTACAAACTTCTCGGGACGAATATTCGGAAGGTTCTGTTTTGTATTCTGGAACCGGGCTCCCGCGTGTTCGGGGTCCAGTTTGAGACACCGCAGGAGTCGAGAAAGTGTGCCGAGTATTAATTACCTGCCGAGACTAGTGAAAGAGCCCCCAGAACCAAATAGGAGATAACCAGAGCACCCGGTGACCGGATGGACGCCGGTGGTCAACGCTGAACCGACGGACCGTCGTGGAACGGTCGACTCAGAGGGCCAAAGAAAGAGACAACCTGCTTGGGTGTGGGCGATGACAGAACTCACTTCATGGGTCATAACACAGAACAAGGAAAACACGAAGCAGAAATCTCACGACGGAAATACGAGGCAACAAGAACGTGGCTCCATCTGTTAATAAGTACAAACACTAATATTCAATAAGACAGATGGCGGTAAGTGCCGCCATCTATCATCAAACTAGAACACTGCATTTAGTGTTTCGGCAAATTCAACGTTTGTCGGTCAAGCGGTGAAACCAGGCTACAGAGCTCTGTCACAGAATTTTATTGATCATTTTGGTCTATTTACGGCATTTGAAAGGAAGAAACATGTCGCCCGTCTTGTTCCGCCGTACCTACGTGAAGATTAACTTCTTCGATCAAATGTTTGTCATTCGCTTATACCGATGTTGGTTAAAGCAACCGTGATCGGAGTAGTTTTGCAGATGAAAGTGTGCACTGGTTTTATTTCGGACAAAAATTACCATGCTTTGGTTTAGCTTTGATCCTGCACACATGGCAATTAGTATTTGTGCACTTCTCTAAAGCTCAGTTGGACACATCTAAAACATTGATGACCAGGTTAAAGCTTGTACACTTACATTACTTGTATACTTACATCTCTGCCAATTGTGTAGAAGGATCTCGTGGCTCCACCATTCAGTGGCAAAACGCAAGCTTGGCGCTTTTTATTATTTACGTTAGGAAACCAGACAGGATCGTCCAGGGTAATTTTATTGTTGTCAAACGCAAAACTCTGTTTCTATGATTATAATAATACTTTTGTTTGCAGAGTTTAGTTTTCTTATCTTACTTGACAAAGTGCGAGGCTAGACAGGAACAAGGACGGAAAGCGAGGACCCTCGATTGAAAAATTTGACTGCAATGAGTCAAAATGCAGCAAAATTAATGCACTAAAAGATTCTAGTATAATATTTTACGCTACTGTAATGTACCCAGCATCTGCCCACTCTACGGCAAGTGCCCACCCCTCACTTTTTTAACATTCAGAAAGTTCTCAAGGGACACATCTTTACGAGTAACTGACCCAAGGAACGCCCATCCCCCAGTTTTACTCGATTATTTTCAAATTGTGGGTGGGCGCTTGGTCGGGATTTTATGGTAGGTCTCTCCAGTGCAGTTTTGCCTTTTGTGGATATTTCGTTGCGTGAATGGCGTGAATATGGTGAATTTCGCTAATCATTTGAATGTGAAACCAAAACTTATTTTGATTAAGTCTAAAGTTGTGTCACAATGGGCTTTCGGGAGTAAAATAGAAGATGTAATGTTTTTATTTCTACGTGTGAAAGAATTCTAGAATCTTGAAGTGTGGTTATAAATTTCTCGAGTATTTTGTTGGCAATATGGTCTGGCAACGTTCTGAACCTATCCAAATCGTCCAAATCGCTACGAGATTTGGTCAATTATCCCAACTTTCCCGAACCGGGGTTCGGAAAAAAGTTTGCCCATGACTATCGACTTTTGCGTCCTCCCAGGTGTCCCAGGCCCTGGCGTCTGAAGGGGAGCACTCGGCAACAGCCATGACAAAGCTGCCGATGCCGTCCCAGTGCGTGCTCGCGCTGTACTCTGCCGACAAGCTGTGGTACCGAGCAAGAGTTCTGTCGGCTGACCACGATACCCGCCAGGTGGGGCTACGCTCTCTTGGTGTCATAGTCTTTTGAATTTGTGACTCGGTATTTTGGTCGCAGAATACCAAGTGACTTGCGTGGCCTGGTATTCTGGGGGGGAAAAAAAAAAAGGCACTGGTGTTTTGTGTTGCACAGCAACCGACTTTGTCCTTCGTCCCGTTTGTTCCCCTTCTCCAGGGATTATAATCGTCCAGGAACTTTGTGCTCCCTACTTTTTGCAAGCTCGCTGTTTTACCGGGGACATCTTTCGCTTTGAATTTGCAATCCCGCTACAACGAAATTGACGGTGCGCGAGAAAAAATTCGTTGTAGCGAAAATTTTGTTGTTGTGAAATTCACAGAAGAATGGCATACCTGAACTGATAGAGTACAGAAATCTTTATTTCCAGAGTGTATCGAGCGTCGCCTGCTTCCTTTTCCTTGTTAGGAGCTCCGTGACGCGGTTTTCGCATTCGGCAAGCAGGTTTATGGCGAGGTCGTCATCGTGCGCAGCCACGTAGCTTCTGAGAACGTCGAACGCATCCAGTACGCGCGTCATGGAAGGTGGAGGCTGCAGGTCCGGCACGTCGTCTTCATCTGACTGCGTCTCGTCGCGGACACTTCGTATAATGTCTTCGTCACTCACTTCTTCGTGAGCGATAACATCTATGTCAGCGTCGATGAAATCTCCCAGCGCGACACCGGACGGCGCAGTTCCGGCATCCTGAAGCGCAGCGCAAGAAGTAACGGCCTCTCCCAGCGGACTCACTGTTTCGTTATCCTCAGCGGAGTCGGTGTCTGGGTCTCCGTTGGCATTTGGGTCTCCGTCGGCATTTGGGTCTCCGTCGGCATTTGGGTCTCCGTCGGCGTCTGGGTCTCCGTCGGCGTCTGGGTCTCCGTCGGCGTCTGGGTCTCCGAGCTTGAAGCCCGCGTGCGTGAGACAGTTGGCGATGACTGAACAAGAGCCTTTTTGATTGCATCTTTCGACTTTAGGATCGTCGACCACGAACTCGGAGGAAGTGCAAACTTTTCGGCGATGAGAGCTTTCTTCTGTCCACTTGCAACTTCGGCCAGGATGTGAGCTTTATCTTGTAAGGATAAAAACTTTCGCGTTTTGCTTGGCGCACCGTGCCATCGTGCCATTCGGAAAAGGCCTGCGTACCGTCGTTGTCGTCGTACCAAGCTGATAAAATGACAACAGACAAAAAAGAAGAAAATAAACAACAAAAAGACTGAGCTTCGGCTTTGGATAGTCTGCAGCAGTGCGTTATCAAGCCAAGAGCTAGAGCAACATCGGTGCAACAGCGTAGGAAGACCAGCCTCATCGCCGTCGCCATCAAGTGATGGCGGCGTGCACGCCCGCTATCGTTGACGCCCGGTCAACGTTGCGCTCGGGTACCGGTTATTAGTGGCAGTTTCTGGTGGTTCAACACGCGATTTAAACTTTATAGTAGACGTATTTTATGTGCCAAAAGGGACCAGTGCTCGAAAGTTTGTTTTCCGTTTGGAAAATTTAACTTTGAAACTTCGAATTGCTCTGTAAAATTTCATTCAAGCGGAACAGCACAATAAACATTGTTCGCTGTAGTGAGAATTCTTATGCATTGACTCCTATGGACCGTTGACGGGGAACCCAAAATATTCCTTGAACCGGAAATTTCGTTGAAGCGGCGTTCATTGAAGCGGGGTTTGACTGTACAACTACTTTGGGCCCACGCCTGATCAACATCTAAAGAAAATACTCGTGTATAAAAGATATATTTTCTGAGTGCTCGGAGCCCGAGCTCATGGCTTAGTTTTTCGCAGTAGCTCCTGCTGAGCGAAGGTTCGTGCAGCAGAGGTGACTCCTTGAGCAAAGAGCTTGAGCTTGTAGCCTAGTAGTGCACGGTATTCCTTCCTGTTGATTTACATTAAAGGGCCGAAAGGCAAATGTTTAGACGAAGCAATGCACAATCCAAAAGAAAACAAAGTAGTGCAAAACGTGGGAACATGTTATATGACCAGAGCTTCTTTTCGAGCTGAAATGAATTGAGGATAAGAAACTATTACCTATGGCACACTTGCTCTTGAGGCATGGGAACGGGGGCTCGCAGCCACGAGATGCTTGGAGGCCGTGTCCCAGAGAGCTGCGCGTCTAGTGTTTGGGGCCCCCGGTAAGGAGGATGAGAGTCACGATAAGTTGTTTCATTACTAAAATCTTTCAATTATATTTTTTAATTATAAAGATAAAAACATGTTTCAAAAACATGGGGGGGGGTTTGCAGCGAGCGGGGGGTGGTCGCAGCGGGCCACCGCCCCGGGTGCCACACCTCATTGCCTTTGTTTGTTAGATTGGGGGTTTCGAAGCGGGCCTGAGGGAGACCTTCTGGCAGGTGCAAGTGCGGTTTGTTGACTTCGGCAACGTGGAGACGGTGTCCGTGAAGGACGTGCGGCCCCTGCGGGAGGAGCTGGCACGCGAGCCCGCCTGCGTGCTGCCCGTGGTGCTGGCCGGGGTGGCGCGCCTGGCACCCAACGCAGTGGACCTGCTTCCCGCCGAGGTGCTCACGGTGGAACCGACCGACAACGCCAGTCCGCCCAGCGTTCGTCTCATGCACGCCGGCACCTGCATCAACGACAGGGTCGCGAGTCAGCCGGTGCGTCCCAGTCGTTCTTCTTTCTTTGCAAATTATTGAAACGAGCCAGGAGCTTTTCCTTTTAAGTGCCGGCACGGTCGTTGGGTAAACTACTTGCTGGTCTGGAAACTTCTGTGGTTTCCACACTAACAAATTTCGTCACTTAATGGTAGCCGTATAAGAGTGAAAAAAAAGAAGAAAAAAAAAAGAATTAGAAAAATAATCTTGAAAAGGTAGGATAATTTTTTTTTAAATCTAATTTTATGCGGAGCCAAGTTTATCTGCATTGTGCTCAAGGCTTGCGATGATGTCAAAACGCCGAGCTCTTATTGGCTGATTTTAAAAAAAGGTGAGTAGATTCGAGGCATCTAGCATTGAGGTCTACCCCCAATTCCTCCAATCAAAGCCAACCGGAACTCTGCGCTGTTCTGGCGTCGCTGCAACCCATGCGCAAGCGGACGACTTGCTCTCCGAATACCACCCTTCCTGTGTCATTTCAATTATTCGAAAGTAATATGGCCTCTAGGTCTCGAGTATAGATTGTTTCCTGTCATCCATCTTTACAACGACAGGTCCTTAGGGATTCACAAAAGAGTCGACGCATTCTTTGACCTTCTCCCCTGGGAGGCTGGATGAGCATCGTACCGGCGTGTGGTTGTGTATCACTACTGCTTGGTGCATGTTAAAGACCCCAGGCTTGTGGTTGTACCGCACTGGCTAAATTGCTCATCTACAGCTGAAACACCAGACACCCACTGAGGCAGACTAACTTCCAGCTGTAGAAACACAAACACAACAATTTGCTTTCTTTTTTTTTTTGCCCTGGGAAGCTTCTCTGAACCTACGTCCTTCCGTTGGGCCTTTAGAGTCGCCCATTCGGTGAACTTATGTTGGCAGTTTGCTTTTGGGGCTTCTATATGTCCCTAGGAGAAACTTCCCCATAGCTCAACGAAAAGATACTAGAACGGGTAATCTAAGGGTCATGGTGACTCAGATAAAGAGTTGCCCGACTAGCCTTACCTCGTTCAAAATGTTCATGATGAAAAACAGTGCGAAAAACACAAGGACACAGAGACAAGCCATAAGTTATAGCAACTTCCAAATGGGTAAACAGAAACAAAGTGAAACGGCACACTGAAGAAATGTGGAGCATCGCTGCAGATGCCGACACTGGTGTTGAACAGTGGAACTTTGTGGCGGCAAAATTTGCTCGGTTTCCAGACCAGTAAGCAGTTTATCTAAGGTCCATGGCAACGCTAGTCGACTAACGGGCGACGACGAAACTGGTCTTCTTCCTTCTAGGAGCCTCCAAAGAAGAAACTCGCGGACAACCCCCTCCCGTCGGGCCGAGTCGCGGCCACGGTGGCACACATCGCGCTGCCAGACGGCCTCTTCTACCTGCAGCAGACGAGTCTGGCCTCCGGCCTCCTTGCCATGATGGAGGAGCTCAACGCCAGTGCAGCGACCGCACCAAAGCCCGCTTCACTCAAGTTGGGAGATGCGGTGTGTGCTCGCTATGCTGTGGACGGGCTCTGGTACCGCGGCGCCGTGGTAGAGCCAGCCAAGGACACAGTCGGTCCTCTGAAGATCCTCTTCGTCGACTTCGGAAACTCGGAAGACGTGCCCAAGGCGGATCTGAAGGCACTGCCAGAAAAGTTTGAGGCAGTGCCGCTGTTCGCCAACTGCGTGGTGTTGGACGCGGTTGCTTCCGTGAGCCAGGAGTGTGCCCAGCAGTTGGTCAGCGCCGAGGTGGAGGTAGAGGTGGCGGATGCGTCCTGCCAGCCACCGAAAGTGCGCCTCTATGTCAACGGCTCCTGCATCAACGAATTGGTAGAGTGAGTGGCGGTGCGGCTCTCATTTCGTTTCTACAGAGTGTACATAACTCTATTTGTTTCGCGAGGGTCCGTGGCCTGAGGGGCCTGTTTTCGTTTGTGAATAAATGATTGGCAGTGCCAGTGAATACAATGGTGTGCCAGCCCCATTGTTTCTGCCTGCTGCTGGCTAGATTGACAGCGAGAATGGCTGTGGTCTGTCTTTCAATTAAGTTTGGTGCCAGTTGTGACGGCTTCAACGGGATGTTGTCTACTTTCATCCGATTTCTCTGTTCGGATAAATCTTTACCAGTTCATCTAGTGTAATTGCCTTAATATATGATCTTAATTATTAGTGCAGTTTGTGTGCTGGTCTATAGGTTAGTACATGACACCCAAGCCTGCTGTCAACTTGGGGCGGCATCTGATTTTGTTGTCATTGGGCATGTGAGCGCAACAAATCTTCCAATGAGTTTTACTCGCCATCAAGCTTGCTGCTTCAAACCAAGTGTGCAAAGAATCGGACGTTTTGTGAAGTTGTGATTGGACACTCTTCTGAGAACATGTCCCTGAAAAAAAAAATTTACAGGTTTTTTTTTTCGCTGTTAAAATAAACTATGTATCGTCGAACGCTCATTCTCCGCCTGAAGGTAGCACTAGAGGTTCAAACCAGATGCCAAAGATTTAGCACAAACCGATATTTTATTTAAAAGTAAGTGATTTTTTGCAAATTTCAATGGGTAAATGGTGGCCGACGGAGCTCTGATACATGGAGCTCTATGGCGCCAGAAACCGGAAACTGGCGAAAATGGGCCCGTTTTCCAATGTAAAATACTGCTCCGTGTTGAAACTTTGGCATCTCGGACCTCTAGTGCTACCTTTTGGCGGAAAATGAGCATTCGGCAATACGTAGTTAAGCACCCTGCATTTATGTCACAAATTGAACTTGGCTAAAAAATCGCTGATAACTAATTCTCACAACATACAAAAAGCACAAAAAAAAAATTATAGTCCGTTGCAACTCAAGAAGGTAGGGCGGGGGTAAGGCGGGCCGGGGAGGAGGAAGCAGACCGTACGTTAGAGTAGAGAGGGTGAAACCACCTCGTTGGCATTCAATCTGCTTCCTCCTCCCCGGCCCGTCTTGCCCTCGCCCTACCTTCGCCCTACCTTCTTGAGTTGATTATTTTGTGGCATTTTATAGAAACACAAGAAGAAACCCTGAAAAGAAAAACAAAAACATTCTTTTAAACAGTCCCGTTGGGACACGCCTGTCAAAAAATTAATTTTACGCAAATAAAAAAAAAATTTACTTGCGATATTGATTGCGCGAGACGCGATTTGGTCGGTAGTCGCCTCCTTGCCACTTGTTTTCTCTCGGCTTTTCGGACGCGTAGAGAGGTGGATCGGCTTCACCTTCACGTTGAGGTGGAAAGAGTGAACGACCATCTCGTTGAGGTCGAAAGAGCGAATGACCATTCCATGACGTAGACTTTGCGCGCAGAATTTCACATAATTCTCTCGTCGCGTAAAATATATTTCGCAACACTCGTGTCCCAACCAAATTGTAAAAAAAAAAAAAAAAATTTACAGCGAAGCTGTTTGTGGCTAGGGTTCCGTAGATTTTTCAGGTGCGTCAACAAAACCTTTACGCTCTCACCGCCGCACGCGCACGCCTCTCCCGTATAAAAGATTCAAAGTAAATGGCCAAAAGAAAGCGTTGACAAACGTGCGTACAAAATGCCATTTGTTTTAGCATAGCCTCCTCTATACTGACAAAGCCTGGCAGATCGCCACGAGGCGCGGCCGCCGAAAGTGAAAAGGTACAGCGGCAGACAACGGTTGAGAGGAGAACCATGTAACGGGCGCCCCACTGCGGCGAGACACCGAAACACACTTGTCCCGAGCGATGGAATGTCCGCTCGTGCTCCTTGCGTTCCTTGCGCTACCGTTTTTTTTTTTTTTTTTTTTTTTTCTTGTAAGGTTTGAAAAACATGTTTCGGGTACACTCCGCTGCGAAAGCTGTCTGCTCACGACCAGGTTCCCCGAGAAATGCTCTGTGCTGCCAGATCCTCGCGCTCCAAATCTGTGACCAGGTGCTCAATGGCTCCGTTGTCGAACTGCCAGGCTTTGTGAGTATAGAAGAGGCAATGGCTTTAGGATAGCCTCCTATATATTGACATAACCTGGCAGATCGCCACGAGAAGTGGCTGCTGAAATAAAGGTGGAGCGGCAGACAACGGATGAGAAGAGAGCCACGTGACTGGCGCCCCGCTGCGGCGAGACGCCGAAACACACTTGGCCCGAGCGATGGAATGTCCGCTCATGCTCCTCGCATTCCTTGCGCTAAAGCATTTCTGTGAAAACGCAAGCCGTTTTATATTTGGATAGCCGAACTTCGCTAACGTATAAAAATCTATGTACTTTCTTGTTACTATAAAAAATATAAATGCAACTTCAAAAGTAATTCGCAACTTTTTGGGGTAGTTAGTAATTTACTCAATTACTTTACATTTAAGTAATTTCTATTGTACTCAAATTACTTTTGAGGCCAATACTCGGTAACCTAATTTAATTCCTTCTTTGAGAAACTTGTGCATGTCTGATTCTAAACCACATCAAAGAAGAGGACCGTGCGCTAATGGACCTAAAACACGCGTCGAAGCAATCGAGCAAAGCGAAAAAGAGACGGAGCTAAAGCAACTGATGCTCCAAGTGAATGACCTCGATTAGCGAAGCAGAAAGCTTAACTTATAATTCCACGGCATCCTGAGAACTAAAGCTAAAGACTTGATAAGCAGAATGAGCAAGATATCAGAAAAGTTGGAACTGCCCGAACTGTCTCTGCCGAACTGTCGCATCGATCACCGTCATAAAGTTGCCATTCCTTCTTGTCGTACTAAACATTTTTATGAGTCTTTTATTTCTAGTGCCTCAACAATGTGGAATCACCTTCCCGGAGCCATTGCCGAAATCCCCGCTATCGAGTGTTTTAAAACTGCCGTTTACAATATTTTTTTGTAAAGAGCCATAACTACTGTATAATATTTTCTGTTGTACGCTGTATGTTGTGTTGTACTTTTAATACCCACTCCCCTCTAACGCCTCTGGCCCTGAGGGTAAATAAATAAATAAATAAAAGTGACGTCACAGCTGTCCACAGGTTACCGTCAAATCCTGATAAAATTCCGGAATCATTATAAAGTTTACATCGCAGACAAGGGACGCCTGGTTGGACAGGAGGGCTAGGTTGAGAAACGCTGGTATCAACGCGTACGTCAGCGAAAGCATGACATCGTAGAACAGGGAGTTGTTTGCCAAGACAAAAGAATGGGCGAAAAGGAAAGGCTTCTTGTATGTCTGGCACCGGAACGGAAAGCTTTTTATCAGGCGAAAGGATGGCGAGCGCTTTTTCATCGTCAAGAACAAATGCAATTTTCTCGCGCTTGACTACTAGTTCTGCCTACGTGAATATGACGCATCATATATTACTTGATGGATTCGCCCTATCTACTACTTACTGATTTGCAACAACACCTTAGCTTAAAATCTAATATTTCACCACGGGCTTTCTCTTTAAATGTACGTTCTGCAAAGAACAAGGACATTGACCTCGAATGCCTTTTGGACAGTTTGAAATTCCTTTCGATGCGATTATGTTAACTGAAACTTGGTATTCAAATTAATGAGACGGTTTTGATTTGCCATCCTACAATGCCTATTGTTTAAATCGCATCACTAGTCCTGGTGGAGTGTGTGTGCACTAATAAAAGAAGGCATGGACTGTAAACTGTTATCATCATTTTGCCCTATCTCTAGTGATTATAAAATCCTGCCTTTGCTGACAGATAATATGCTTGTTTCTGTAGTTTACCGTCCACCTGATGGCAACATTCCGAATTTCCTAGCTTTCCTTGACACTCTCCTGGGATTCTGTAGCGACAACAAGTTAACTGTGATAATTGGAGGTGATCTTAACATTAACATGCGACTTAATACCACACCTAAAATTTATTTCGATTTTTCGCTTGCAATGTACGACTGTTTATGTGGTAACCAAACCAAGTAGAATCATGGAAAACACGGAAACCCTTATTGATATCTTTATCACAAATGTTGAGAACACTTGTGTGATTCCCGGAATTATAAATTGTATAAGTTACCATTCGCCAACTTTCTTTTGCATAACGGGCAAGCGATACCAAAATAATAAAAAAGCCCATCAGTCGTGCACAAGGTATCACGCTTGATAACCTAAGAAGTTTCGTGAATGCATTATGAACGAAAATTGGTTTGACGTTAATGAAACAAACCCTGCTGTAGCGTACAATATTTTTCTGGACAGGATTAATGTTATGCAAGCGATTTTCTGTATAACACATTTAAAACACCAAAAAGAATTCGTAAGCCCTGGATTACTTTTTAGCTAATATTAATATAAAAAAATTTATTGTTCGAAAATTTCAATAAAACAAAGATCCGACGGATCTAAACAGTTGCAAATTATATAGAAATATGCTAACAAAGGAACTTCAAAAGGCAAAGGCGTGTTACTATCATGTTAACTTGGGCTCGTCAAGTGGACTTGTTGATGGTCTATGGAAAATTATTAATTCAATCCTACAATGCGACTGGTCTCACAGTGCTGTGGGAAACCTTTCTGTGAATGGCACAGAACTTACTGGTGTTGTTTTAGTTCACGCGTTTAACATTCATTTCGAAAACTTAGCTACAAACTCGTGCAGCGATGAAGCCTGGTAATACGTTGTAAAAAGAGATGAGAATTCTGTTTTTCCACCGGTCATTGATACCGATGTGTTTTCGATGTTTATGCATTTAAAGAACACTACGAGTAGAGATGGGGATGATGTCCAGATTAAGCCAGTAAAATATGTTCTAGGCATTATAAACCCTTCTGTAACGCATATTTTCATCTTGTGCATATCGATAGGAACGTTTCCTGCGCGTATGCAAGTAGCCAAGGTTTCCGCTCTGCACAAGAAGATAGGAATGGCATTAAAAACTATAGGCCTGTGTCAGTACTGCCAGTCTTTTCAAAGGGACTTGAAAAAGTTATTCATACCCGCTTGTCTAACTTTTGTGACAAACATAACCTAATTACGAGGCCCCAGTTTGGATTTAGAAAGCATCAATCAA